AAAAAGGAAAAAGGTGGGGGGGGGGGGGCAAAATCGTCATTTTACTTGTCCACCTCGGGCGGAAATTTATCTATATATCAAGTGACGCCATTTTCAGCCCCCCTTATCCCACCGGCGCTGTTTATTTTTTGTATTGCCATGATCATGCGTTTTGGCTTGAAGAAGCAACCGTCAACGACGGCCATGACTACGGGGTTGGGGTGAAAGTTATTTAAAGACTGCCCCGCCATCGGTGTGTGCCGTGGGATGATGCCAGGTGTGTCGCTAGATGATGCCAGGCGTGCCATGAGGTGATCTGAGTGTGTCGTGATATGATGCCAGGTGTGTCGAGACATGATGCCAGGTGTGTCGTGGGATGATGCCCGGTGTGTCGCCAGACGATGCCTGGTGTGGCGTGAGATGATGCCAGGTGGGGAAGAACTGAATCTCTATATCTTTAGTCCTCCCCTTAAGAGAAAAGATTCGTCCCAAACGGCTGATCTTAAGTATCCGTGATGAAGAGGGAGGGATGTACCATCCCAAATTTGTTTAGTTTTTACGATAACATTTTTCTTCAAATACATCTTCACGAGAAGTATGTTTAGTATGTTTAGTATGTTTAGTATGTTTAGTATGTTTAGTATGTTTAGTATGTTTAGTATGTTTAGTATGTTTAGTATGTTTAGTATGTTTAGTATGTTTAGTATGTTTAGTATGTTTAGTATGTTTAGTATGTTTAGTATGTTTAGTATGTTTAGTATGTTTAGTATGTTTAGTATGTTTAGTATGTTTAGTATGTTTAGTATGTTTAGTATGTTTCTAGCGTTCTTAATTAGTCTGTTAAGTCAGTGAGATCATACGATGAATTTCCACAACAGCAGGTAATGCTGAAATTAAATCTGCCAACTGAGGCACTGTGGAATAAGTTAATAACTTTTTTTGTTAAGCCGAAATTTCACAGTATTTTAAAATAGACACAGCTCTGGTTTAATTTTTTTACGCAGCATTAGGCCGTGCTCATGCCATGTTAGATTATTATTAATGGTGACACCTGAGTACTATGTCTCTACTTTCTCCACACTTTGATATTTTTATGTTTAGCTCATCCATCTGGTGTTTCCCTGTCCTGCAATAGACAATCATTCCTTTTGTTTTCGAGACATTCAGCTGGAGAAAATTTTCATTGCACCAATTGATAAAGCCTGTAACTAAGTTGCTGTATAAGCCTTCTGCTTCAGATATTAAATCAACGTTGGTGGTATCACAGGAAAAAAAATCTGATGATTGGGACGGCGTTGCTTTGGCTGTTAATATCATTAGAATTTATTGTATACAGTACAAGGAAGAGAACGCAGCCTTGTGGCGCCCCCGTGCTTATTTCTATGGTTATAGATACTTGGTCATTTACCTTGACATATTGTGGGCGTTTTGTTAAAAAGTTCAGTATCCAAGCTTAAATACCTAATTATTTATACCTAAAGAGGAAAGTTTCTATAGCATAAAAATTGGTTGGATTAAATGATGCTGTGAAGTCTAACATACAACTTTAGCATATTTTTGTGTTTTGAGGATAATTCTCTCAAAAAAATTGCATTACATTAGAAGTAATGAGACATGACGTAATTCGTCATTGCTGGTTGCCTTATTTTTCTTTAGAATTAGTATAATTTCTGAAGTTTTACAAACCTTTGGTATGCCATCCACCGTAGTGTTTATTAATTTCAGATTTCAGTTAAGTTTAAAACGACACCTTTTTCTTTAAATAGCCAATAGGAATTAAATGTTTTTCGTAAAATAGCACATAAGACTTAAAATATGCTTTTCCTTTAAATAGCAAATTAGAATTGAAATAAACGTTATCTTTACAAAGCTAAGCAGACTTAAAATACACATTCTCTTTAAATAGAAAATTAAACTAAAGATACACTTTTTCTTGCCGAGCCAAGCATTTAGCCGCATCACCTCCACGTAGCAGCTCGCATGCACCGTTTCGACGTTTTTTTCAAAGGGCTGCTACGTTCGACTCTATTTCCTATTTCTTGTCCCATTTTCATTTGTCCGGTCTGCCGAGGAAGGCTCTTAGCCGAAACATTCATATTTTACTATCCTGTCTTTCGATTCAAACGTCCACATACATTGTTCTACAATTTCCTGGACACTTGGACAGAGCGATTCAAATGCACGTGGACCAACCGTATAATTTTCAAAAACTACTTGGAAAATCCGTAGAAAATAGATGGCTGGTACGCCTTTCGGATGAGTTACGTCAAATCCCCCCCCCCCCTTCCCCCCCCTGCTCTTGCTGACATGGAAGTAGAGTTTATATTATTATTATTCTTTTTTGTCCTAACCGTATAATTTTCAAAAACTACTTGGAAAATCCGTAGAAAATAGATGGCTGGTACGCCTTTCGGATGAGTTACGTCAAATCCCCCCCCCCCCCTTCCCACCCCTGCTCTTGCTGACATGGAAGTAGAGTATATATTATTATTATTCTTTTTTGTCCTCTAAAATATCTGTATGTCATTTTCAATGCAAGGGAAATAATACCCCATTGAAAGCAACGTCGCACTTTCATGAGTTATATAGCTTGAAATAAGCTTGGAGAGTGACATGGGGAAAGGGAAGACGATGAAAGCCATGTTACTCATCATACACTAGTTCAAGTTTTAAAAGCTTTCTGCGTCATTATTTCTGGACTTTTGTTACAAGAAAGAAGATTATCGCAAGTTACAATAAATTAGATTAGAATAATTTACAATGGGAAATTATCATATGTTACAATAAAGAAGATTATCATATGTTACAAAAAGATTGACATAATTTGTTACAATAAGAAGATTATCATATGTTATATTGAGTTAACAGAGAAAGGTCTTGAACTTAGGGTACATTTACACTACTTGTCCAAATTTTGAAGCAATTTCATAACACCGTCAACGGTATATTGAAATTATATTCACGTTTATCACATTTAGGTTTATATGAATATATTGTAAGGAATCCTTGTTTGTTCTCTGCTAAACCTTCAATCTATATCGGGTATTCACTAAGGAAGCAACTCAGGCGATAACATTTGATGATTATATTCTTGTTCTTTTATTGGGCTGATACTACGCTTGCACTTTCTCTCATCTCGCAACTCTGACTGTATTCTACTCCTATTCAGTAGACTGTCCGACTCGCCCTCCGTCCGACTGAGTTCTCCCCGATTGTCCGCTTCCCTGTCCGGCTGAGTTCTGTCCAGTCCTGTCCAACGGTCCCTATTTATAAGTCCCAGGCCCATAGAGTTCTTTCCCAGATCTGTAATCTGACTCCCAAATCTTCACATACTTAAATTTGCCAACCGTCGAAATGATCCTATCCCAGTAGCGAAACGGTGGTCCCAGGGAAATCTGATACCCTAGACCGTTGGTCCGATGGCCGGTAACCCTGCTATGAGATCTGACACGCCCGGCCTTTGATCAGTCAGTCGGTACCCCCAACCCCTGTCGCATCCAGGTCCGAACTCTCCACAATATGACAAGTTTATATGGATATATGGTATGTTTGTATGGATACATGTTAAGTTTGTATAGATAAATATTGGTTTAAATGGATATGGGATAATTTTATATGGATATATGATATGTTTTTATGGATGTATGATACATTTATATGGATATACGAACCTTTATATTGATATATGATAAATAAATATGGATATATG